TTGATGTACCGGGAAGAGAGGTGGCTTGCCTGCGAGGAGAGATTTGCTATTGGGAAAGGGAAGGTCGGCGCTGAGCCGTGCAGCCATCCGCCACGTGCCACTCTTTCCATCTTTATTTGCCTTTGCCCTACAGACGCCGAGACGTGCTCTCATCTAAGGTAGCATAAATGGTGTCTTCTTTTCCTCAACCTCTCCTCCTCCTCGCAAGGGTTTCTTAGGACGGCGCCTATTTTCTTCTCCGCGATCCACAATAAAAGAAAGGTGGCCCCATGCTCAGCAGCTCTTTAGGGTGTACGGCGCAGAGCTACGCGGAACGGGTCAGGGTATGAAAGAGGAGGAAGCAAGTTTGAACCATTGTTTAGAACAGGCATCCTGGTCGCATGGCTGCATCCGCTAGCGACTGCCTTCAACTCATGGGGGGTGGGGGGGGGGGTGATTTTGCGAGCATTGTGTGTGTGCACTTTCACGTGCATGGAAAACTTGGACGTACCGCAGCTGTGTTTTATTGGTTAGGTCATCTGCCTCTGGTCATCTGCCTCTTAGGTCATCTTCCACTGTGCAGAGATTGGGCATTTCTTTTAGTTCTGTGCAGGAAATTTAAACTTTTGCTGTTCGAAATTATGCGATTCTATTTAATGGAGTTAATTGAGAGTACCTTAGTAACCTGCGCTTTGCCGATGACATTGCATTGCTAAGCAACTCGGGGGACGAATTGCAACTCATGATTACGGAGTTAGACAAGGAGAGCAGAAAGGTGGGTCTTAAAATTAATCTGCAGAGAACCAAAGTAATGTACAAAAACCTCGGAAGGAGAGCAGCACTTCGAGATAGGTAATAGTGCACTTCAAGTTGTGAAAGACTGTTTACTTAGAGCATGCAATAACCTCTGAGCCAAACCATGAGATTGAAGTAACTAGAAGAACAAGACACTACTTCACTTCATACACAACAATAACCTAACGGCACACATTTAACACAAAAATATTATGCCTTAAAGGCAAGTCTTTGTCGCTATAAAAAAAAAAGAATAAGAATGAGGTGGAGCACATTTGGCAAGCACTCTCATATCATGACAGGTAGATTGCCACTATCCCTCAAGAGGAAGGTATATAACAGCTGCATCTTGCCGGTACTTGGCTATGGAGCAGAAATCTGGAGACTTACAAAGAGGGTTCGGCCTAAATTGTGGACAACCCAGCGTGCAATGGAAAGAAAAATGGTAGGTGTAACCTTAAGAGACAAGAGAGCAGAGTGGATTAGGGAACAAACAGGGGTTAAGGATATCATAGTTGAAATCAAAAAGAGGAAATGGACATGGGCCGGGCATGTAGCGTGTAGACAGGGTAGCCGCTGATTATCAAGGGTAACTAACTGGATTCCCAGAGAAGGCAAGCGGGTTAGGGAGAGGCAGAAGGTTAGGTGGGCAGATGAGATTAAGAAGTTTGCGGGTATAAATTGGCAGCAGCAAGCACAGGACCGAGTTGACTAGTGGAACATGGGAGAGGCCTTTGTCCTGCAGTGGACGTACTCGGGCCGATGATGATGGTCTAAGTAACGCAATTAAACAATAAAGTAGGAATTATGATACTAAATATTAGTTATTTAATAAATTACATTTCACATTGATTACTCTTCACTGAAAAGTATGAGCAAAGGTTTTTTCAGTTGTTTTCGAGTACCACGATCATGCGCATCACAAAATGTAGAACTAGTTGCTTACATTGAAAATAGGTTATTCGGGGCTGAAAGTGTTAATCAGGTTTTACAGTCCATTGTGTAATTTGCTGTTTCTACTTCAGATATTTTATAAACCTGTTGCCTGAAGTGCATTATACAAGTCTCATAGACTTGATAATAGCAGTGATGCAAGTGGGACTACTGCATGTCCTCTGGCTTTTGCTTCACTAGGTGCCTATTGGTTGCGTTTGTGCATTTTTCTTTTTTTCCCTCTTGCTGCCAGTGGAGGCCAGTGCAAACATCATTTGGTTCTATGCTTTTGGAGTAAAAAAAAAAAAACGAGCATTGCATTGGCAGTGCCATGTTAACTTTGTGGAGGTTGCCTTGTTTATGTCGCCAAGTAAATAACTATAAGGTGGATTAAAAAAGAAACCAAAGGTCATGCCAACGGCATGCAAGGGATTTATTAGATGGCGTAGAGCATTTTACATATGTTAATTCTACATCATACAAACAAAAGATATAATATGTATAACGTTAGTAATACTTTGTAATTATAGTGGATTCCAGTCATTTCTGGAATGATAATTGATCAGAGCATGTTATTTTGGCTCATTAGTCTTTTGTACACAGTTGGCACCTGTAGCCTAAACAAATGACAAAGTTTTTAAATGTAAGAAATGCTGACACAAATACATTTGACTATAATTGTTTTAACAAAGAAGGATGCTTTCTCAGATATTTGCTGTATTTTTTATTTGATGAGGAAAGAAAGGTTGTCATACTGTGAACATTAAAAAAAAAAGTTGTTATACGATCTAAATGTCCACTGTTCTTGAATGAGTGATGGCTTGTAAACATTGCATGGAGCTTAGCCACTGGATTTCTGAGACCTCCAGGGCATTTGCATTTAATTTCACGCTGACAATTTCCAATACATTTATACACAGAAAATTGGTTGTATATGTAGCTGTGCAGAAACCAAACATGTTTGCTGTTGATACCTGATGAGCATTCAAACCCGTAATGCTTAAAAACACTACTAGGCATGATGTGCGACAAGGTGTAGCTTTTATTAGATGTCGATCTCTTCTTTGAAAAAAATAAGCAAATTCACTCTTGGAATGTTGTCATTGGTGTTGCGAGATATGTATTCAGTTGATTGGAGTTTTTATTTCAACAAAGGCTTTGTTAATGTTTGTTTTCAAGACTTAGATGAGTTAATAGGTATAAAAACAATCAAATTTTCGTGTTATAATGAAATTTATATAATAGTAAATTATGTTACCATTCAGAGTGCGAGTATTCGGATGTCAATCATGTACGTTTTACTGTGACATGTATCAGTGAGTTTCCTCACAACTACAAACATGAAAATAAAGGTTTGTGAACGAGAAAGTTTGTGTTCTGTTTTCTTTTTAATGTGCATAAAGAAGGCATGCTATTATCATTTCACAAGTGTTAATTAAAAAAATTAATGAGAAGCAGCCAGAGTGTAGAATACACACGAGCAGCAACAAGAGTTGTATCAAAGTTAAAGAGGTCTAATAAGCCTCGTGTTTTGCGGCTAATGTACTTTTGTTTAAAAAAAAATATTCATTGTGACTAACAGACTACTATATTCACCTGGTAAATAAAAATTGTCAGCTTTTCTATTCATATAAACTGCTTGGCACAAATGGAGAGCTTCTTAGACCTCAGTATATGATCTTGAATGTTAATGTAATTGCACATGGTAATATTGGGCATGCCTGGAATGCCTTTTTTCCTCGTGCAAAGGCATTGCAGGACAAGCTTTGTAGATAGTTTGCATGACGCCACATCGAAGTGCAATAACGCTGGGGAATCTATTATGATACACAGCTTATTCAAAAATGTGATAGCCATTTTCTGTCATGTGCAAAGGAGTTTGAAAGTGTTTTTCAAACCCTTCGTAACTTTTTCCACCTTTCGCTTCAGAGTAAGGATAATCATGTAATACATTAGTAAGGCCACCTAAGGCAGTTGCTTTTATTGATGGTTCATGGCTGCAGAATTATTGGCCATTTGTTTCAAAAGATAGAAAATGTCCAATTGGGTTGTACTCGGCGACAACTTATCCTGACATTGTCTACGGAGGCAGGGCTTTCGCATATTCGTGTTGATCCGCAAGTAGTATGGTAGCTTGCGGTTGCTTTCGATTTTGCTTGCTCACATCTTTAATGCTTTTAGGAAACCATATACACAAAAATTATGAATGACAGAAACATTTTGATCAGTGTATATTTTAGTGTTCTATTAAAAGTATATTCTTGGAAAACTGAAAAGCACACTCGCGGCTGCGCACAGTTGCCATGTTTTCATGTAAAACGCTGGACAGAAAAAGTGGCAGGTCAATAATAACTGTTTTTTACCTACAACTTCCTGCAACTATTTCTTTCTAATAATAAATAAAGCAGCATTCATTGCAACAAAAAAAAAAAAAGAAAAATTATCTGTAAGCTTTAGTACTATTTTATGCTGCGACAGCAGGCATACACGCCCCGCCATGGTGGTCTAGTGGCTAAGGTACTCTTCTGCTGACCCGCAGGTCATGGGATCGAATCCCGGCTGCGGGGGCTGCATTTGATGGAGAAAATACTGTAGGCCCGTGTGTTCAGATTTGGGTGCACGTTATAGAATCCCAGGTGGTTAAAATTTCCGAAGCCCTCCTCTACGGTGTCTCTCATAATCGTATGGTGGTTTTCGGACATTAACCCACAAATATCTATCAATCAGCAGGCGTGCACTTTGGTTCTGTAGCACAGTGCTGCCAAGAAAAGTTGTCGCTGAGTATAGTTTCAGCGGATAGACATTGTCATGTAAAAACTAATGCATAGAGAGCGCTCTTTAACTTAATTATAAAATTGGGTGCTTGTGTTTCTTGCAAGCAAGACCTTGCTAGAGGGGTTTTCTTTATTAGCCGTTCCATCCTGTACTCGCGCAGTTGCCCATGGGAGCTCTTGGGGCATGGAAAATACAAAAAAAGCTGTAATTTAACTGTAGCATAGACACAATTGAAGTGTGCACTTTTCTGTGGCTGGCTGCATGCATATGGAAAACAAATAGTGTTCTGTGGTCTTCATGTTCCAAAATGAGGGTGCTTGTATATATTTTGCAAGTTTAAAAAAAAACTTGCACCATGCTCCTACTAAAAGCCTCCACTGCCATGCATATTGTAGACCATAGTTAAGCTGAGGGCTACGCATTATTGCTCAAATAAGTGCACCAGGAGAGTAAAGCAGATTGTCATGATATGTCAAGATTATGTCCTAGACTAACTTTTCTCTTTTGTGTGTCTGCAGCCTTATGAAAAAATTCTCACGTAAGCTGGTGAGCCGATGCATCTACTGCAATGTGCTATGTGCGACTTCGCCAGACATCTTAGAGGTGTTTCTTGAGCTGGATGGTTGGTCTACAATCAACATGTGGCTGCAGGAAGCTAAGACGGCTGAGAACATGCCATTTCTATGTGAGCTGCTGAAGCTGTGTGAGGTATGAAACTGCTACTATTATATACAGGTTATCAAAGAAGTCTATTTGAATAGTGCACATAAGTGTCCCTAAAAACTATTCAAAATTTTGCAAAACAGTTACAGTAGATGCACTAGCAAGATTCTTTTCATCTAGATAGCCTGGTCTACAGACTATTTGGGGAACTATTCAATTAACCATTAACTCTGACCTCTTCATTTCGTTTTTTATCATGATTTTATAATCCTTTGTGGTTCTTCGACACCTTCACTGGAATGTGGAGGGGTGAACATCCTCATAGCTAAAAAAGTAGTCTGGGAGCAAGGCTTCTGGTTGGAAAACATTGCTGCGTAAGCATACACAAAGGAGCGCTCACTATATTGCAATGTGTCTATTGAGAATTTGTGGGGTTTTTTTTGTTATTGTTGTTAGACTGCAGGCTTTTCAGCTGGCACTTGCACAAGGTCAGAGTGCAGGTTCTACTCTTAGTGTCTAGAGTGGCATTGTTTATGGAATGTACCTTTTTGATGCAAATTCATAGCTAAGTACATAGCAGCTGATAGCATTGAGCCAGTCAAATAGAAGAAGAACGGCTATTTGGGCTAGTTGGTTGGGATTCATGATAATAAGGGCTGCAGCGCGAGCACGAAGGTGCTAGAAGAAAAGTGAATCGAAAGGCAAGGCAAGGAAAGCAAAGAGGACAACACGAGCGCTGACTACCAACTGAATTTTATTATTCGCAGCACACATGATTATATATATTCAGCGCTCGTGTTGTCCTCTTTGCTTTCCTTGCCTCGCCTTTCGTTTCACTTTTCTTCTAGCATCTTTGTGCTCGCGCTGCAGCCCTTATTATCATGCAGTCAATAGTTTTGAAAACTGAATGCAAATGGAACTTGATAAGGCAGATGCTTGGGCTAGTTACTGATTGGTCAGCGTTGGTCAGCGCTCTTTCTGTCCTTGTCTCTTCTGTAGTTATGTCGCAACTACTCGTTGTCTTACGCTGTGCAAAATATGTTGAATGCAAATGGAGCAATAATGCTCTTGACAAATGCAAAGTAAATGAATGAAGTTCATATGAAATCTGATTGAATGTGTTGTGTACCGTATATCTTTGAGTAAAGGCATGCATGGCTATGCATCACTAAACATGCATGGCTCGATGCTCAAACGTCATTTTGTCTCTGATATGTTTTTCAGATTCTTCCCATGTCACTGGAACGACTCAAAGAAAACAGTAGTCCCAAGCTTATCAAGAGTCTGATGAAAAGCAGTGATGAAAATGTGCGTTTAGCAGCTGAGAAGGTTGTTAGTGGCTGGATGAAGCTGATTAAGGGTGATTCCAAGGAGGCTGTCAGGCCTGCGCGTGATGCTGATGCCGCAATCAAGAAAAAGAAGAAGTCATCATCAGCATCATCAGATACTTCAAAGGCTGACCCTGTGAAAAAGGAACGTTCAAAGGGTTCCATAGATGAATCTAGCAGTGAAAGTAGCAATACTTCTAGTGGCAAACATGGTCCTTCTAAAAGTTCTTCATCTGCCGGATCTTCTGAAAAGGAGACCACTTCAGCAATGAAGGAAGTGCCAGCAAAGAAGCCAAAAGTTACTGATCGTCCGAAGACAGTGAAGACTTTTCAAGCACGATTCCGATCCACAGGCCTAGAAGAGGCACCACTGCCACCACCTACAAAAGCTGGCACCAAGAAAGTTAGTAGGCCAGCTGTTGACAAAAATGCTGTTTTGTCGGCGCGACAGAGGCTGGCTCCAACGGTACATGCTGAGCGAAGGGTGAAGCCCTCAAGCCTGGTGTCCATGGGGGGTGATGGACGTGAAACGGTGGGCCCTGGAATTCGGCTCATTCCACCAAAGCCTGTTCATGTGCTGCACGAAGATGGCGGGTTTATGGACGCTTTGACTGCAGCTCCTGCTCCATCACCTATAGCAGCAGTTCGACGCAAGCGTAGGCCATCCGGTGCTGGCACAGCTGCAGGCCCTGGAGGGGCCAAGAATGCTGCTTCCACTTCTCCCACTAGCCCCACACCTGCTACACCAAAATTTCAGTTCTACAAGGACACACTGGAGACGCCAGAAGCACCAAGGGAAGTGGACAGTGACAAAACAAAGGAAGCTGCAAAGATTGAAGAGGAGGATGAAGATGATGACATTGGAAAGAGAGTGAAGCGGAGGAAAAGGGGACAGGCTACAGCTGTTGTTGAAGAGAAATCTAACAAAGAAGGTACTGAATCTCCTGAAGGCGAGGATTCGCCACCAACCCCGACAGCTACAGCTGAAAAAGAAGAAGGAACTACAGAAGAAGGCCACGAAGTCAGCAAGGCTTCAGAGGGAGACTGCAAAGAAGAAACAGCCGACAAAGAAAATGAAAGTGAAGAGAAAAGCAGTGAGGTTGATGCTTCATCATCATCATCATCATCATTAGACCGACCAATTTCAATACTTTCAATGACAAGAAAAAAGATCAAGAAGTCTGTGCGCTGGGTTGAGGATAGCAAGCTGAGGCAATTCCGCTACTTCGAGTTGGATGAGACTGAGAGAGGTGAGTTAATCATCATCTAGGTACCTATTTTTTGCATACTTGCTTGTTGAAAGCTTATTTTTAGCTGTTTTGTTTTGTGCGTTAAGTGCCATTAGAAACTTTAAAACAGCAGGGCAGATTTGGAATCTTGAATTTTTTCAACTATGCTGTTGCATTTGCAATTATAGACTCTACGTTGAATTCTGAGAGATACATGAGGTGTGGGAGCCATATAAACTATTTATTGTGAATTGTGGTTTGGAAACAGTAGTTCAATTAAGAAACTGGCATAGTTTAAATTCTTACTGCCAAAAAGTAGGTAAAAAAAAAAATCGTTGACATAACAGGCTGGATCTGCAGCAAACCGACAGGTCTATTTTGTTGCTCATTTTAGGCTGCACATGTGTGCGTAATAAAAAATTATGGTGTGTGGGTCTGATTATTAACATTTAAAGGTTTATGAAATATTATTAAAGTCTAACATTCTTTATTCTTCTTCATTTTTGGGAGTTAGCTTGTACTGGTTCACTCTTAGCATTAACGTGCGAGTGCCTGGCTTTATTCCATGGAGGGCCAGTGCAGCCAGTGCTTACTTGCAGTGGCACTTAGAGCCATGCCTTTGTATTTTTGTCTACACTGTTCAGGTATGTTGGGCTTACATTATTGTGAACCAAGCTTCACTTTTGCAATCATATGGTCATGGCTGCTGATTAGGACCGATAGCTGAGTGAGTTGGTATGAATGTGTGATCAAGAAAACTGCAAAAAGAAAAAAGGACCTCGTAATGGGGAAAGAAGCAAATACCGAAGACTTTTCATTGGGTGAACTTATGCCCAGAAAAAGAAAGGCACTCAAAGTGCAATGATATCACACAGTCATTGGTCATCAATCAATCTGATCGTTGGTGGGACATGTCATTCTTTACAAATTGAGGGTGGAACATTCCAGAGTCATTGCTGGTGCTTGCATTAGCTCTAGAATAAACTCTACTGTTCATGTAATGCGCAGTCTTTTCAGAATAGCCAGTACAATCAAGAAGCTTCCTAATCATTGCAGCATGGCCTGTTCTGAGCGCTAGTGACAGTTTTTATGAGTGAAAACTTAATCACATAAAAATAGAGCAAAAGCCTGCTGCCTGGCAATGTGTTGTGCCATGATGTGCAGGGTTCACAGTTCACGTAAGAAAACTGAATCTAGAGACTTCTTTTTGCCTATTTTCTGCAGTGAATGTTAACAACCTACACAACTTTGGTGACATGAAGACCCTGGAAATGAAGCGTGAGAGGCAAGCGGTTGAGACAGCCCGTAGGTTGATGGGTGACCGTATGGAGGAGGCCATCCCATTTCGACCACCTCGGCGGCTGACGCTGCCAGAACCTCTTGCTGAGCCAGGTGCCAATAGCCTGGAAAAGGAAATTCAAAAGCTTAGGCAGCAAAAGACATTGCAGGAGATCTACTTCTCTAAAGAAATGTACGTTAACTAATTCACACTCAACTATTGTTTTGCTTTTCAACAGTACTAGTAAAATGTGCATGTTCATTTGTATAAATTGCATGCTTACCTCTTTTATACATATATTTAGTTTAGCCATACTTGTCATTGATGACAATACTATAAGGACGAGTATCACTTGTTGCATAGCAACCATTGTATCACATATGCTTGCCTCATAATATACTGTGGAAGCTGCATTTTCAGCAGGCTGAATAGATAATCTTGATGGTACTCTCTTCGTTCTTTAATTGACAGAAAGTTGAGCTATTTAGTAGGAATACATTCTATTCATGTGTACACAGATGCTAGAGAGGATAAACATAAATGTTGGTAACAACTTAGTGGGTGTGCTGTGTCAGAAAAGAAGGTAGACATAAAGCTTATCGGGGCATGCTAGAAAATGGCAGTGCCACTTGTAAATTTGGAACATGGAGGCCTATGCAAAAGAGATTAATTTGATATATGGGGTAAACATCCCAAAACCACCATGTGGTTATGAGAGACGCCGTAGTGGAGGGCTCCGAAAATTTTGACCACCTGGGGTTCTTTAACATGCCCCTAAATTTGAGCACACAGGCCTACAGCATTTTCGCCTCTACCTGAAATGCAGCCGCAGCAGGTGGGACTCGATTCCACGACCTGTGGATTGGCAGCTGAGTACCTTAGCCACTAGACCACCGCGGCGGGACTATGCAAAAGAGAGAACTGTTTGCACATAACATTGCTTATTTATGCAAGATAATTGCATGTTTGTATTGGTCATTACGGTATACCTTTTACTGTGAACCTCTCGCCCCCTTGCATGCGGGCATCAGATTCGGTCAAGTTCATGATTTTTATGAAAGGGATGGATTGAAAAGGTGAGGATGGTTAACCAGTGGGGAGGGGGAGAAAGGAAGAATGAGAAAGAGGACAGACTATGATAAAGAGAGGTAGAGAGAGAAAAAACAGGGCACAAGTGCACATCTACTGTTACAGTCGAACCCGTTTATAAGAGACTCCGAGGTAAAAGGGATACCAATGTGCTTATCATAAAATACGGCTTGATAAGAAAATGCCTACGTGGTACCTTGTTTGTAAGAGACCTTTCATAAAACAGACAAGAACTGCTGCCCAGAGCGTGTCTCTTATAAAGGGGTTTAACTGTATATAAATAGGTCATGATAAGACTTGTCATGTTGCATATTTCTTCACAGGATTCCAGACTCTGCATATGAACCTGACCCTGAACAGCTGTCTTCAAAGGAGCCTAAAATCATCCCATTGGAAGATGTAAGATAATTAGTTTTTTTTTTTTTGATGATGATGATATGTGCGGTTTAACGTCTGAAAACCACCACATGATTGTGAGAGACGTCGTAGTGGAGGGCTCCGAAAATTTCGACCACCTGTGGTTTTTTTAACGTGCACCTAAATCTAAGCACACAGGCCCACAGCATTTTCGCCTCCATCGAAAATGCTACTGCTGCAGCCGGGATTCAATCCCGTGACCTGCGGGTCAGCAGCCGAGTACCTTAGCCACTATACCATCGCGGCAGGACAATTTTTTTTTTCGCAAGTTTTCTCGATTTCGAATAGGTGCCTTTTCCACATTTAATTCTAAATTTTCTGTGCCTCTGCCACCCTCTTGTGGTGCATATTACAAACATAGCCTTCTATCCTGCATGAAATCGATTGTAGAATGGACATCACAATGACTTTCTCAACCTTGTATGTATATTCAATTTTCTCAATTTGTTTATTGCAGACACACATAGAAGAGAATAATGTCCACGAGGTAAGGCAAAAGGAGACTCGTATGTCTCCTGACAAGGCCTTTACCCCGGGCTTACATGTCCAAGAGCACGAACGAAAGCAGGGAAAACATGTCAAAGAATAGAAATGATTAACTTCTCATTAGGGCATATGCAAATAAAAATCAAAACAAACGGAACACTTTTACATGAATATAAGAAACAAGCGTTTACTAACTATAATAGAGAGAGTAAATATCTTTGCATATGAAGCACATACAATGTAAAGCAAAAGGTAAACATCAGCATTTTATGATTCATCATTGAAAACTTGTACATTTGTAGGGGACATTAGAAGTAGTTCTACTTGTTTTTTAAAGCAAGAAATACACGTGGTTTCATTCGCTAGTTTGATTAAGGATGGGTGTACAACGAAATTATTTGATGAGTGCCATAGTTGGGCTGTGGTCTTGATCCTGTCTATGATGTAGTACGTAGGTTGTATGCCACTTGTCTGTTTTAAATATTTATTTGAAAAGGTGCTATAATTGTGTTTATTATCGCAGAAACTCATTGTTGCTAAGCGAAACTTATACAACTGAAAGAACAGTAGTATGTTCAGAGTTTCATACAGCGAATCAGGTAATGAGGGCAGATGAGAGGAAAAGGAATCATTTTCAAGCTTCTTTGTAAAAAGGAAACACATTCGGCATCTGTCTTGTTGCATGTACCCCAGACTAGATGACAGTATGATAGATGGGAATGAATAAATGAGGAATATAATTGTTTTCTAATACATAATGGTAAAAAATATTTCAGTTTGTATAACATACAAAGAGACCTAGATAACTTCGCACAAGTGTAGTTTATATATATTCAGACCAACTGAGCCCAGACGTAAAAATTATCCCTAGAAATCGACAAGAGTTTACGGGCACTATTGTAGAATGATTGATACTTAATTCTATGTCATGAAAGAGCGACTTATTTTTTGGATAAAATATTACGTACTGTGTTTTCTTTAAATTTAAGTTAACATCATTCTCACTCAGCCAGATGTGAAGTTTGTTAAGCCAGGTGTTGTCATGCTGCTCTAATACCTTTAGATCTGGACCAGAAAAGAAAACATTAGTGTCATTGGCATACATAGCAATGGCAGGAGTAAAACGAATATTTGTGATATCATTAATATATAGAATAAGAAGCAGAGGACTCAAAATTGATCCTTGTAAAACCCCAAGGGTTTATGTTTCCCAAGTCGGACTCGAATTCATGAAGCTGTGTATATTGTGTTCTGCCTTCAAGGTAACTCGCTATTAATGTAAATGCCAATCCACGGATACCGCATGCCGTTAACTTTTGGAACAAAATTTGGTGTTCGATCGAGTCGAAGGTTTTTGGAAAGTAGAGAAAAATTCCTACTGTAAAGAGTCGCTGTTCAAAATTACCGAGTATCTTTTCTTTGATTTGCAGTAGGGCGAATTTCACCGATTTACCTGACTGAAAGCTGCACTGGTGTTTAGAGATAATATTTTTAACTTGTATGAAATCATACAATCGTTTATAAATAATACATTCTGTGATCTTGGGAAAAAAACAGAAATACCAATATTGGTCAATAATTGTTGGGGTCATTTTTTTCTACCACTTTTAATTATGACAGTAGCCAATGCAACTTTCATTTGGTCTGGAAAAATGCCAGTCGCCAGCATTCTGTTGCAGATATAAGTTAATGGAGCAGCAATATAACAGATAGCTGCTTGAACAAGCAGAATGCTGATTTAATCGTACCCGGGCAAGCACGCGTCTTTCAGTGCGGCCATGGTAGATGCTATCTCTTCGTCTGGCGTAGGTGATAACATGGAATCCATGCAGGCCATAGGAATGTATGAAATAGCAAATTTTGAGGATGGTGCTACTTTAGGGCCTAGAATAGCACCTGATGTCAAAATGTCAAAAAATGCATATTGAACTGATTTGCAAGTTTCATTCCAGAGATTGCTTTTCGCTAATGTGTAATTCGGTAGATATACGTGGTCGTTCAGTTCCTATGATTTTATTAACAGCACCCCAGAGTAGTTCGGAGTTATGTATTAATTACAAGGGAGATTTTAGATTTACAATAGGCATTTTTTAGCTATTTTTAGGTCTAAGCTTAATTTGTTCCTATACCTTTTAAACTCGATTAGATCTGCGTAATCCTTTGTTTTCAAGAAACGAGCAAGAAGAGTTTTCTCTCTGCATTGATGCTGCACAAGGTGTGCAAAAAGTGAATTGTTGTTGATTAATTGTGTGTGTGCGTGCGTGTATTGTCGTGGTGCCCTGTTAACGAGAGGGGAAAGTATATGTGTGTGTGTGTGTATACACACACACACACAAGATATATGCATGCATCGACTGCTTAGTCGATGCATGTTTAAAGCCTGATGCATGATTGTGCATCGGGTTTCTGTGCTGCAATATGCACTGCAAAATGCAGTGATATCTCGGTATAACGAACTTCAGGGGACTGTGGAAATTTGTTTGTTATTTTGAAAGGTCGTTATAGTGAAAGCTCGAAAATTAACCATAAATACTTATTTTTCACTGACCAAAACGACTTACCTTTGTAAGGGTGGGTCCTTAACTCGTTTTTCACGAGAAAAAATCAAATTCACAAGTAAACACCAAAAAATGCATGTTTACTTTAAAGAAGTCTGTGTTTTTTTTTTTTCTGGACGCAAGCAGCACAAATTTTGCAGCGCGAAGGCCTCCAGCTCATCCACATTCCTGTGGTGCGATTCGGTTCTTTGGTCACAAAAGCCTGCATTTTGCCTTCCTGTTGCCAAAGAATATCCATTGTCTCGCTTACTGAAAACTGCTTCTGCTTTTTCGTCCCAAGCAGAGATGAACTCATTTGTAGTATCACCGCAGCGTGAATGCTGACTTGCTTTGCGGACGCGATAGTAATCACCGAAAAGAGATCAACACGACCATAGTCTCCTAGATTTCCCTTGCCTGCCAGATGAGCGCGAAACGCCCATTGTCTATGGGGGCGCAGTCTACGTAGGGGTAATGGTTTTCGTACTTGGCCTTTGAGATCGGCAATTTTGGCGTTTGCTTATTATAGAGGCTATGCCTTGTATTGAAGGGGTTGCCTACTGAATGAGCGCAAAACGCCTGTCATCTATAGTGGCGGCACTTACGTAGGGTTGATTATAATTACATTTACTCCTCTTTAAAACTTTTTTTACATTATTTTTGTTGCATATAAGTTCCAAAAACGTAAAAGATTATTTGAAGACACCCCTACTTAAGTGGCGCCAGCACCATAGTTCCGACGACGGCCGCTTCCTAAGTGACCGCCCATAATCCGGCAGGCAATGGGAATCTAGGAGGCTATGACACAACTGTAAAAACAAGGCCTCCAAAGAAAAATCCGAAGCATCACGGCTGTCATTGCCTCTTTCGAAGAAAAAAAAAAGTTCTAAAAAAGAAAATTTCTCGCGTTTCGTTTTCTGCTCTCTCGCTGTCTCAGGTTTCCCGTGCCCGTTCTTCTTGCTTTGCAATTCCCACTCTGCCTCGCAGACCTTGCCCTCTCGTGTTGCCCTCGCCTCTGCGCCTGCTTGTAAACGTGTAGTACGGTCTTTCATCGAGTGGTCGTGCTTGCAGCGTCGGCGTTTCAACAAAAAGAAAAAAAGAAAGTCACCCTTTCGTTTTTTTTTTTCTCCACACCGTCGCGCATTTCTCGAGAAGCAAGGCGCCCGTTCTCTTTGTCGTCTGCTTGTGTACCGCTCCGGTGGTCGCGACGGATTTCAGAACAAAAGTTCATAGTACTGAGGTGTTGTTAATATAACGCAAAACTAAATTAATGCTCATTATTCTGAAGTACGTAGTAGTGAAATAATTTTACATTGAAACTATTAGCAGTCAGCGCGGGATTTTTTGAAATTTTGTTAATCGGAAAAGTTCGTTAATGTGGGGTTCGTTCTACCAAGATTTCACTGTAGTACTGGCAGTAGGTATGCCCATGCATTTCAAAGATGTAGTCGTTTGGTTTGGCCAGTTGGCATGCAGTGTAAGTGATTGAGAATGTATATCCAATGCAGGAAAACGGCCCGGGAGGTACATTGGACTACTCACACATGGAGCTTCCCAAAAGCAACAGCCTACTGCCACCTATCCTGTCAAATCTGGTGCTATCCATAGCATCAAAAGGGCAACCAACACAAGGAAATGCTTCTTTGCAGCAGTGTGGGCAGCAACAGCAGCTTCAGGGTGGCCTCTTACCAGGCCAATTCCAGGGCAGTGGTCCTATGCCGCAACAGCAAGGAGCATTCTTCCAAAATATGGCTGGCCCGCATCCTGGAAGTGGCCCAATCACTGCCGACGTCCAGCAGCAGCAGACATTGACCATGATTGCTCTAATTGGCCCAGATGGAGGGCAACCTGGGATGCACCTTGGGAGCATGAGCATGGGAGGAGATCCTAACGGGCCACCTTTCATGCATGGAAACTCCATGCAAAACCAAGGTGAGTCATCATTTGTACCACATTCTGATTTCAATGTGATTGCCCCTAAACTACAGAATATTTTCTCATTTGCTTTCACATCTTTTGTTTGAAGCTATGTTTGTATAGTGAATAGCTTTATTACCCATAATTTAGTGTTGTTTGCTGATATAGCAGGGGCTTAACTAACTAAGCAGTAACATTTTGCAAAAGTGATTTGCATAAGGCCTGAGTGTACCACTTAAGGGGAGACACGGGTATGGGAGGCCGAAAATTTTTCGAAAAAACGATTTTTTTGAAGTATTTTATTTATAATCATTAAGGTCTAAGGAAGCTGTTCCTAAAATATTATAGCCCTGTAATGCGTATTTGTCGAGTTATTGGGTCGCAAAGTCAGTTTGATGACCATTTTCGCTTCCGAAACCACCTCAAAAACGGTCGTATTCAACACCGCAGCTCGCGAAAACCGCACCAAGTAGCGCGGCCATTTTGGTCTCATTTTTAAGACGCATTTTATATTATCTGTTCCTAGCAGAAGAACGTTTTTCGTCTAGCAACAACGCAGCTATCGCGCATAAAGAAAAACTGAATACTCGCACATCATTGGTGCGTTTTTGTCACGTGTGGCAGTTCCCGGTTTCCTATTTGACGCGAAGGGATTCGTCTGCTAGACAGCGGCGTGCAAGCCGCCATTTTGCGTACAAGCCTAACAACGGCTGTGCATTCGGTGCAATAGCAGGCGGTCATCGGAAGTTCCGGAGTGCTCATGCATTCGGAAAAAGGCGAAAACGGCATTTGAGAGCCCGCACCTTATCACCAGCGAGACCTTCTGCCGCCGAGAACTCGGAAGAAGCAGGCTGTGCCAGCGCAATCACTGCCGCGGCACCCGCGATCGTGAATGCAACAGCCGCGTCCCAAGATCACACGAGAGCTGTACGCGTCGACACTCCCCTGGTTTTCGACGCTGAAAAAGTGGCCATCGAGTGTTGTGCGAGCGATGTTCTGCAAGATCTTTCATCAAAGTCTGCCACAAAACGCAAGCGGTCTTTTTTTCGAGACTCGAATGGAGCCGCAACGCCTGGTACGCCGTTCATCGTCGTTAGCTTAGAGTTGGTCAACGAACTTCTTCAGTGTATGAAGTGCGGTGTGTGTGGCGGGCCTGGCAGAATCTCCAAGGAAGACCGCGAATATGGCATAGCCGCGAAACTTGTTCTCACATGTGACGAGTGCAGTAAATTAAGGACCGTATGGAGCTCGCCGAGAGCAGGGGGGACGCAGCGCACGGCCCCTTCGAAATTAACGTGCTAGCGGTTCGCGCGGCAATGAGCACAGGAAACGGGCAAACTGCGCTCAACGATATTTTTTCCGCCCTAAATATTTCACGGAGAGACCTGCACACCAAGACATACCAAGATTATGTGAAATTGAAAATGGACCCTGCCGCGCAGAAGGCTGCCGCGCCCGTTATGGACGATTGCGGGAGCACCGTAAAAACGATGTATTCCGAACTCAACTATGGAAATCCTGGAAATATCGCCGTTTCCTTTGATGGGACTTGGCTGACCAGGGGCCACTCATCCCATATTTGTGTAGGGACCGTGATTGAACTATTCACGGGTTATGTGCTCGACTTCGTCGTCCTATCGAACTTTTGTTTGGGCTGCCAGCTAGGGCCGAAGGAGGACAACCGAAGGTATGCCGAGTGGCTAGCTGGTCACACTTGCCAAAAGAATACCTCCAGTAAGCCAGGACAAATGGAGGTGGAAGCAGCACAAATTTTATTTGGCCGCTCATTGGAGAGACATGGGCTCCGCTACACAACCATGTTTTGTTATGGAGATAGCCGGGCCTTAAACAGTCTGCAGGAGGCACAGGTATATGGCTTCGTGCCAATAGAAAAAGAGAACTGTGTCAACCATGTGCATAAGTGCATGGGCACAGCACTTCGAAACCTCCTGCAAAAACAAAGAGGCGAAGGAAAGCCAAGCCTTGGCGGCAAGGGCAAACTGACAGGCGAGCTGGTCACAAAGCTCACGTCATATTATGAATGGGCTTTACAAAGCAACCAAGGAAGAATTGAGGCCATGAATAATGCTGTCTGGGCAACCTTTTACGACGTAGCATCTACTGATGCAAGCCCTCAGCACTCTCACTGCCCAACTTGTGAAGAGTCATGGTGCAAGTACAACAAGGCTGTTGCCAAGCAGGAGACTCCTTCGAATCATCACTACAACCTGCCGGAGTATGTGGTTGATGCTTTGCGGCCTATTTACATGCGTCTCTCTGACAAGAAATTGCTGGAGCGTTGTCAGCGAGGCAAAACACAGAACCCAAACGAGAGCCTGCCCTCCGCCATCTGGTTGCTCGTGTCCAAAAACAAACACGCGTCGCTTTTCACCGTTGAAGTTGCTGTGGCCGAAGCTGTCGCAAGGTTCAACGCTGGCAAAGGGAGAGCAGATGCCGCCATATTGAAGGAGCTGCACCTGCAGCAGAGTGTTGTGGCCGCTGAAAGATGCTCAGAAAGGACAGTCGCCGACTAGTGGCATCGGAGAAGAAGCATGAGCATGCTGAAAACTTCAAGCATGCCATGAAAAGAAAGCGCACCAAGTAGAATGATGATGACTACATTCCTCGTGGCTTCTAACATGGTTAATACGCCGATTCACACCTTTTCTTGTTAAATATAAGTGCTCAGCATGTTCCTAAACTTCTTTTCTCGTTTTCTCAAAACAACATTTTTCATCACACCCTAAGCCATTGCCCACAGTATCTTTTGATGTAGCAGTCGGATTTTGATAATTGTTGCAGCATTTGAAAGCTTATACATTGATTAGTGCAAGAAAACAAAAAAAATGTAATATTTTTATTTACAATATGATTTAATTAGCAACAAACTTAAGCAACAGTTTCAGATTTCTAATGAGTATACTTGTTAAGGCCATAACTCTGGTACCAATGAAGCTAAAAATAAAATTATGGTTTTGTTGCACTCCCTGGCCTTCATGGAATGCTGTCATATCAAATTTGTAGCAATATTTTATGAGGAAGATGTCAAAAGGCTGGGCAGAATGCAAGTTTTTGTAACAGTCAATATTTAAAAATCTAAACGTGATAGCAAAAAACTAATTGCATATTTGTTTTCAGCTGTGAAAAATACATATTGTATTAAAATTTCAGCTGGAAATACTGAAAATTAAAAAAAAAATTCAAACTAGTGTTTCCCCTTAAGCTAAATGATCTTGTGTGTGTATATATATATATATATATATATATATATATATATATATATATATATATATATATATATATATATATATATATATATATATATACACATATATAAGGGAGACAAGTGTATACCTAAGGGCTCGTATTTCCGTGTTTTAACACAATATTAATTAGATATAACAGACAGTTATGCCAAGGAATGTACAGGGGAAGTTATTAGAACCAATGGAATGTAAATAAGAAGAAAGAAGAAAGAAAAGTGGATGAAAAAATTACCAGCTGTGAGCAGGAAACGAACCTACGACCTTCGAATAACGCGTTCGATGCTCTAACCACTGAGCTATCACAGCGGCCGTCCCTCCATCCACTTTTTGGGGTTTATATGTGAATTTAGAAGTAGGAGTGACAGTCAGCGCCATCTATAAGCCAAACGAGTGTGAAAACACTCTTATTCGCATGTTTGGCGTCACGTAGCACGTGAACTTATTATGAGCGGGCAGCGTATTTATTGTCCCTCTTATACAACCTAAACACACCAAGTCTGCCAGTACGAGACCCTCGTTTAATGAAATAAGGGAGAGAAGTGTATACCTAAGTGCTCGTATTTCCGTGTTTTAACACAATATTAATGAGATATAACAGACAGTAATGCCAAGGAATGTACAGGGGAAGTTATTAGAACCAATGGAATGTAAATAAGAAGAAAGAAGAAAGAAAAGTGGATGAAAAAATTACCAGCTGTGAGCAGGTAATTGCTCACAGCTGGTAATTTTTTCATCCACTTTTCTTTCTTCTTTCTTCTTATTTACATTCCATTGGTTCTAATAACTTCTTCTGTACATTCCTTGGCATTACTGTCTGTTATATCTCATATATATATATATATATATATATATATACACACATGTATAGTATAACATTGTTACAATGGATCTGCTTACAACCAACATTCCGATACTACATACCAATTGGCGGCGTTATGATGATCTGCCTATTTGTACCATTGATCGAGATTCGTTTACAACAGATCTGGGTACAACGGACATACAGATATAATTGACCGAAATAAGAGGTCAGAAAGGTAGTCGGCACTCTTTTACAGCAAACTTTGTACATCATTTGGGATACTTCCAGGACGGGAGGAGCGTGCCTGCAGTGTCAACACAGGTGGCGGTCATTTTGAGACGGCTGTGCTTGGCTTGGACCGATCCGGCTAATAGGGCTTACTACGACTAATGACTAATGCATCATATAAAAATTGATGTATGATTTTTGATAAGAACAGTGTTATCGAAGCAAAATACTGTCTGCTCATCAACTCAAAAAAAGAAAAGGAGAAGAATCATTAAAGCGTACTTCATTAGCAACTGCATACTTTTGTCAAAGTAAAAAAAAAAAGTTAATAGAAAGCGCTCGCTTTGTAGCAGCCCCTCTTGGAATAGAAGTTACGTTCGGAATGGCGCTGACAGTGGGTGCTTTGTTCAGCTGGGGCTGTTTCGATGTTTTGTTAGACTTCGTGTATTGTGTGAATTGGTTCGTTGTGGATGTGATCAGGGTGTCATGGAGCCTATGGAGCCGAACACATCAACCAATGCCTTGCGTCGTAAGCCACTGCAAGCGACGAAGCACAAGCAGATATCCCTGAAAGACGAGCTTGATATCATTGAGCAAGTTGAGAAGGGAAAAAAACAGGTGGACATCGCCGTAACATACGGCTTGTCGAAGCAGACTGTCAACACCATTGTCATCACCAAGGAGGCGATCTTGTCGAAGAAAGCATCAGGTGGCTTACAACTCAAGAGGTTTTGGTTCCGTGAAGCTTCATATCCTGATGTCGAAGAGGTCTTGCTGATGTGGCTTCGTGACGCCCGTTCACGAAATATCCCCGTGAACTGACTGCTGCTATGAAAACACACGGAGCAACTTGAGTTTGTTCTTAATCAAGAACAGTTTCAATGCAGTAAAGGTTAGATTGAGGCATGGAATCGCCTTGAAGTGTCTTTCCGGAGAGTTAGGCAGCATCGACAACAACTGGAAAGCCAATGTTCTTCCCATTGTCCTCGAAGGCTATGCATCATGGGATGTGTTCAATGCCGATGAGAGCATGTCTTTTTTTTTTTAAGTTAAAGCGAGGAAAGTTTTTTGTTTTGCCAACGCATTAAAAAAAAGAACGCATGAGCGTTCTTTTTTTATTGCAATGGGGACGAAAGCGAGAAAACCAACTCTTGGTTACAAGCAAGATGAAAACATCCCGATGCATGCGCAGTATGCACGTTCCCGTGGACTGGGATTCGAACAGAAGTGCCTGGAAAGATACTTTCAACCGATGGTTGCTCGACTTTGACAGCAAGATGCACCAAGAAAGCCGGAATGTGTTACTTTACCTCAACAATTGCTCGAGCCACATGCACCTTCCCCAGTTTTTTTGCTACAAAGATTGCGTACTTCCCACCTAACACAAAGTCAAAGGCGCAGCCTATTGATCAAGCATTGTGCACCCAGTGAACTCAAGGTATCGCTCATGCCTCTCTGAGCGTTTACTTTTTCACATGCAGCAAAAGTGAGACTCTGTCATAGACCTCAGATTTGCTGTGCAAGTACTTTCAACTGTGTAGGTGCAGATTAAGCCAGCAAATAAAACAAAATTGCTTTAGAAAAGCTGGTTTTTTCGTTAGTGACAGTGACTGCACAGACCCCTTGCCACTGGAAGGCCAATCACATCCCAGTGTCTGGTCAGCCTTTGGGAGCCAGCAGTTTCCCGATTACGTAACTGTGGATGATGACCTTGTCAGCTCAGAGCAGCTGACAGGTGAAGAAATCGTTGCCCAAATTCGCAGTGTACCGAATGCAGAGCAGTAGCATGAAGACGACACCTCAGAGACTGTGGCCGAGGAAGTGACAACTTCTCAGGCCCTGTGCTACCGTAATTACTCGAATGTAACGCGCACCTTTTTTCCGGTTAAGCGAGTTCATAAATCGCATGTGCGTTAGAATCGAGTACGAAAAAAAATGAATACGGTAATTTTATTGCCATCGGCATTTCAAAAATGGCCGCCCCCTACGTGCGTTGGTATGGCGCGTCGGCCATTTCTGTTTATGTCTTTTCCATGTACGGCACTTCGTACGTGTGCTGAGGAGTTCGTCATCTTATAGTGCATTAGCATCGACGGCATGGAAGGGCCGACTCCAAAAACTCGACGAGTGCACCACGATGCCGCTTTTAAAAGAAAAGTCATCGTGTGTGCCGAAGCGAACGAAAATCGGGCCGCGTCGCGGTCGTTCGGAGTTCCCGAAACGTGCGTGCGGGACTGGCGGAAACAGAAGCAGAATATTTTCGACAGCAAAGATTCACGCAAAGGCTTCAGTGGACCACAGCTGGGTCGATTTCCGCAAATTGAAGAGCTGCTCTGTGAGTATGTGATTGAGCAGTGAGCGGCACAGCGTCCCATGACGACAGAACTGCTCCAAGGGCAGGCTGTGCAGCTAGCCTTAGAAAAAGGGCAAATGCGGAGCCAGTTTAAAGCGAGCAGGTGCTGGCTAACTAACTTTATGACGAGGAAAGGCTTTTCCTCGTCATAAAGTTAGCTTTTCCTCGTCATACTCCCTACAACATACTCCCTTTATAGCAGACGAAAATCCTCTTCACTATGAAGGTCCGTTGTAACGAGCTTATACTGTTATACTGTGTGTGTGTGTGTGTGTGTGTGTGTGTGTGTGTGTGTGTGTGTGCGCGCGTGTGTGTGTGTGTGCACGTGTGTGTGTGTGTGTGCATGCATGTGTGTGATTATTGTTTATCTTGTATTTATGTGTATTATTATTGTTTAGGTACATTTATTGCATTTTTTGTGAACTCGGCCCCTTTAAGCTTTTTCAATTGCAAAAGAGATCAGATGGTATTTCATAGTACGTCATGCAACCTGATTTGGCTGTAAATTTTGTGAAATGGCAGATTATTCATGTTTTTTTTTTTGTAAACTGCCTTTGTAAATTTACATGCATCTCAATATTTCCTCTTTTTTTCTGTAACATTTTCTAACATTTGTCTTAATTTTGAAATGTTTGCTTAATATTTATAGAAATTATTCTTTTCAGGAAATCATTTGTTATTATCTGACTTTGCGATGTAGTGCCTGTGCTTTCATTTAAAAGCAGTGCAGCACATTAGCACAAATAGGCTGGGTAAAAAACTTCTGTGCATTAGGATCTGGAAAGAACCTGAATATTTACAAACCCTAGAGCCAGGGTTTCGAATGTGCTATGTGTTCTAATTAATGCGACTAGCCTTTTGTTGTACAATTGTAATGGCTGTTAGGCCAAAATTTGACTTTTTCTAGTTACCTAGAACCGATAAGCTATTTATCTCACCTATTGGTAAGACAAGCCGCCCGTGATTTGGAGCCAAAAACCTTGATAGCCAAATTGATTCTGCAGAAACCCTACAACATGAAAAATGTTGTAGTACCTTTCTTTACTGTTTAGGTTCTGCAGAATTAATTTGACTTTAGTGTGGTATCTTGTAACCTTCTAGTACTTAACTCCATGGTTTTGTGGATTTCATCTGTAAACAAGACGTTTTTTTAGCCACCAACTTTCTATTTATAGGGAATTAATATGGGTCTTTCTTGTAACTTTGTTTTGGCGTTGAATGTTTTTTTTTCTTTTTTTCAATAAAAGTCTTGATTTTTTTTTCTCACCTAGGCATTGGCATGATGGGTCCCCCAATGGGCATTGGTGGAGCTGGTGGTTTTCCCATGGGAGCTGGTGGTCCAATGCCTAATGCTGGGGACTGGGGCATGATGCACCCTGGCATGCCTCAGGATGGGGCAGAATACTACAGCCGGGGACACCATCCAGGCATGGGTGGTCCACACATGGGCATGGGAGGACCACCAATGGGAGCCGGTTGCGTAGGAGGCATGATGGACATGCCTCGTGGAGGACCACCTCATGGAAGAAGTGAGCACAGCTGACACTACTCCTTTTTTTAATAAATACAAAGGCAGCTAAGGGAGGATGTGGCAATGAGAATATAGTATATTTGATAAAGATGTTCAATTTATCAATTAATTTTTTTGCTATTCTGAGACAGTACTTTACGTCATGAGGAAATGTTAGACCAAAGTAAGTAGTAGAAGTTGAGAAAAAAAGCATTTTACTGGTGGGCTACAGTAAAATGCTATATAAAAAATTGGGCTTTAGAAAATACAAATCTGCAGTTTTCCCTTGGCACAGTGTCACCATATTGGCATCACCATAAAGAGGACAGGTCGGAGCTCAAGGTAGCCACAAATATGCATTTCTCAAATAAAAAATAAAGCCACCTCTTTTCCTATCCCTATTTTCTTAACTTTTAGCTCCAATTTATTTTAGCTTTATTTTTTCTCATCTTACATTTTTTCAGCAGTTGCTATCGGTCATCTTTGTGCCATTTCACAACAAATGAAGCGATAGCCATTCTGTTTTCTGCACTTAGATTCTAAGAGATTGGCCAGTGCCGTAAAGCTGTCAATATTTGTGGCCAAATCTTGCAGATTTCTATAATTTACATTTTCTGGAAGTTGTTAGGGAGACAATATGTCGTTAACATTTCAAAACTTTTTACAGCGAAAGCTGTTATGAGATCACAACTCTGGTCACGTGCTGTTGTTCGCCGCCGCCGGTGTCAGTAACCACATTGCGCGAAATTAAAAAAAAGAAAAAAGAAAAACCTAGCACCAATGACACAGTGAGGCTCGAACCCGGGTCCGCTGGGTGCCAGCCCAGTATTCTATACAGAGTTAGGCCGATGCTTGTAACTTGTTGTCAAACTTGCCTTAGGCAGGCTTGACCTAGCACCAGTGACACAGTGGGGCTCGAACACGAGTCCACTGGGTACGAGCCCAGTCTTCTACAACGGAGCTGCACCGGTACTTGTGACTTGCTTTCAAACTTGCCGTAGGCAGGCTTGTTGTCGGGAAAGCAATCGCGTTAATACGACTTACACAGCGTTTTAACAGCGAACGAACAACCAGTCGTCACACAATGCCAATGGCGTAACAAGTGGACCGTCCAATGTTCCAAACCATCACAAAAATTTGTTCTTGTTTTCTCTATTAACTGTGGCGCATACTCACTTCAGTCATAATTCCTCATCGTCGTCAGCGACTGCATGAACAATTGGCACAAAATTCCTTGCAATTATTCAGCAGATACCACACTTCTCAAAAGAATGACGAAAAATAGCATAGTGAATGCCAGCCTACTACCCAAATAAATTTATGAATAATGCCCTAGTGGGTGTCAAGCAAGTGTGCTTGGAGTAGTTACCCAATGAGTGTTTCGAAAATGCTTTGAAAGGCCACTCTTCTAGCTTTCGCTGTGCTGTGCCTTCCACACAGGCCTGGCATTTTTTTTATATTTACTTGAATATTAAAAAATAATTCAATAGCATTATGCCACAGAATGGGCCGTTATGAATATACTTAGCAAAAATTTTGGCAAACATGTGTCTAATTTATTAATTTTGGGATAACAATGAGAGTATATCAAGTATTGTAACTCAAAAACTAGTTTAGATAACTCAAAGCTGATTACAGTTATGATATCATCACAAGAAATGACATCTGCATACTAAATTTCATCCCTTTATCTACATAAATAACAAAAATAGTTTTCATTGCCATGTCCCATCTTAGAAAATGTAACACAAGGGAAAGCGCTAACAGAAATGGACACATAGTAGTATTTTCATTTCATGTACTTGCAGATCACTGGGAAATATACTGTGTGCTCCTCTTTTATAGCAAACAAGGCTTCTGAAAAAAAAAAAGCAAAAAGTGAAAAACACTGAAGGCATTTTCATCAGGAAAGCAGCACTTCGATACCATCGTTTGATCATTTAACAGATAGTTTTGGTTTCTTCTTTATATATAGGTAACACGGGCAATGCCATTAGTGTTAGTGTGCATTTATCCCATTTCTTTCTTGTGGTATAAGAACAGCTTGCCTTTTGGTTTCATTTTCTTCACAGTTTCTTGCAGTGTTGTGCTTTTCATGTAAAAAATGTGTGCATATTCATCACTAGACAATTCAGTTATAACTTTTGTTTCGCTTCATTTCAGACACTCGTATAAGAAACCATCCACCCCGTGTACCGTGCAAGTACTACATGACCTCTCAGTGCCGGTTTGGTGCCAGCTGTTCATTTTTGCATCCTGGTGTGAATGGACCTCCACTGCAGTGATTGAGAAACTTGTTCACTGAATTGTGTCTGTGTAAAATTTACTGCAAATCGAAACCTGCATGATGTGTAATGTGTATACAAAGAATTTGTATTGAAAAGAAATCGTGACGTATATTTATTTTCGATTCCATTGTTGTCGTAGAATGGCGCATCCATTGATTGTAAATAAAGTTGGGAAAACTTTAAATCACCATGTTGTAAATAATAGTCTATATTTTGCCATTGATTATATATACTCAGGTGTAAATATGTACATATGTAAATAATATGACTTTTTCTAGGTGAATTAAAGGAAGTTGTTAATTTTACATTTCTGGCTTTGTTGTTTTATTCTGCATGCTTTTGTATATATCTTACTCTGGGCTTTCAAGATCTTAAATTCTATCAGATGTATTGAAATCATATAAATCACTAAGTAGTGCTCAACACCTGTGTACCTATTGCAAAAAATAACGATTTGAATGTTTATCAAGTCTAGTTATAAGCCTTGGGACCTTTAACCAAGTCTGCAAGATTAATTAAATATTGTAATGGAAATAAGGCCATCTTTCTTGGGAAACAGATTACACAGCTAGCAGCAACACTTTTGACTAATACTACAGAACACTGCCCAGTGTACAAAAGAACAGTGTGGGAAGGAAAAAAAAGTTGCCCACGCGTGATTTCTGCACTTTCTTTAAATGGAACATCGACTGAAATGACCGAGTTCATATGCATGAGATATTTCGTAAAAAAGCAAGGGTACGCAGTATGTTTAGAGCTCTGCTGGAAGTCGTGCACTGGTTACCTTATTTAATACTGCCCCGCCGCGGTGGTCTAGTGGCTAAGGTACTCGGCTGCTGACCCGCAGGTCGCGGAATCAAATCCCGGCTGCGGCGGCTGCATTTCAGATAAAGGCGGAAATGCTGTAGGCCCGTGTGCTCAGATTTAGGTGCACGTTAAAGAACCCCAGGTGGTTGAAATTCCCGGACCCCTCCACTACAGCGTCTCTTAAACATATGGTGGTTTTAAGACGTTAAACCCCACATATCAATCAATCACCTTATTTAATACTAATAAAAGCACATTCTGCTGAAAAAATGTGCATTCAAGTTTACTTTGGAAAATGAAACAAAAAGTATGAAACACAAACCTTTACTTTTAGTCTGCCTTTCTGTGTGGCCAATAGCATTTCGTGACTCAAACATAGCTTGGAAAATTCCAACAACTAAATGCAAGACATTGGGGTATGTATAGTGGGCGATTTGATGAGTGGAGCAGTGTTTGTGACCTGTTGGTAAGTCAACTAAACTGCATTAAATTCTTGTGTTGCTTGACTGTTCCAGATTGGAGAAATGCTAGAAAGCCCTTGTAGTGCATGACTAGCGAAAGAAAATGTCGAGTGGTTGTTTGCGTAGTGCCATTTTACTTGGCGCTACATGAGAAGATGTCATCCATGCTTTCAAGCAGTTGGTTCTGGGAGCATTGTCCTTCTAGTGTGCTCTAATGGTGATCTAGCTCAATATTCAGTAACCAATTATAATCTTGAAATTAATAGCAAAATTTTTATCTTGAATCTAGTACTAGTGCCATGGCCAAAAAATGTGGAATAGCGAATAGAATACAGTTTAACCCCTTTACAAGAGACATTAATGTAAGAGACTAATCGATATAGAAGACACCAGTGTGCCAGCATCAAAACAGGTGTTAAGAAAATTTATACGTGGCACCCTGCAACATGCATACAAAAATGCAACGAGACTCTTCATATAAAAGACAAGAATTGTTCCCTGGTGCATGTCTCTCATAAAGGGGTTCAACTGTATTGAATACCGAAGATTTTGTTGAAACCTGAAAGAAAGAACAAAGAAATGCAATTCGCTCATGTCCTCGGGTACAATGTGGTGAATGACTGCCACCGAAAGACTTCAAGTTGTTATGTAGAAGCACGAGCTGTTCCACATGACCTTGCTTCATACTTTCTTGCCATGATGTAATGGTGTTTCCTGCAGTTAAAAAAATGTGCTCACTGCGTGCCTAAATAGCAGGAATTGAAAGGTGTTGCTAAGCGATTTTGGCAATACCTGAATAAAACCCAGCGCTATGAGTTTTCCGGTATTTCAAATAATCTTTTGTGGGGATCATGGGCTCACTGCAGTATTTTTAAACTTCATTGTAAGGTCGTCACTCATTGCGGGGTTTCTTATTTTTTATCTTTTATTAAAACGCTAGCAGTTTGACCGTCTCCCAGACTATTCTCTGGCCTTTTCTGCTGAAAGCATCACTTGTGCAAATGACATTTTCTTTAAAAGAACCATGCACTCACTTTAAACCAGTATACCAGTGAAAGTATTGACGAAAGGCCACCTGTAACAATTTTAGCGTCAGTTTTTGCCACCTCACCCTAACAAAATTGTCACATTGCCTTTTGCTGCAATTCAGATATTCGTCCAGTCGAATTATTTGAAACTTCAAAATATTATCAATTCGAAAGTCAATTCAAAGTCTAAACTCTAATATTTGCACACTGCTACTTGAAATTTATTTCATATGTGGCTTGATCGAGATCTTTGGTGATCCGTGTTTTATGTAAGAGAAGGTACTATTTTCCATAAGACGTCTGGGCACCACCATCTTGGGCTGTCAAACCGATGTTTTCTTGTCTTTGTATGTCAAGATTTGAATTATAATAAGGCCATGAGACATTGTATACGCACCAAACCAAGCGTTTTCATAGGTATGCGTCTACCGAAACGCTGTTCCATTAGTTTTTAAAGGTACCAAACACAAAGGTTAACACATCCACCTGTAAAATACTTGAGCGGAGGACTGCTGCACATGTCATCAAGTGGCTCGTAAAAAAACGAGCATTTGTGCCGCAGTTGGCTAAACATGAGAAAAACACGGGAAAAAATTAGCAAGCACTGCGCGCACCGCTTATGTATTTTTTTTAGGCGAAGCCGCAAAAAAGTCATGCGGTGCAGTAGAATAACTGTATATGGTCAGTTACTCTACGGTGCGGCATGTTAAGAAGCCATCGTGCGGTCTTATCATGATGCCCCAGTCAGTTGTGGTATATTGGTCGCTTTCATTTTTCATAACCTCACATTGCACGTTATCGTCCCATAAGTCCCTTTTTGAAGACTTGAAGCATGACATATCAAATGAAGATTTCAGAGGCCATGCAAAAAAAAAAATAATGCAATTGAACTTTCGCACTTGGTAAAACTACTGAATTAAAAAAAAAAACGTTCTGATATAGAGTTTTATACAATAATACCTAGAGGAAAATCTGGCACTAGAGTCTACGCGGGCTCCTTCAACGGCGCTTGTACCCCCATCGGAATGATTGGTATAGAGGTGTGCACCGAGACGTCAGCGCGCCACCGATGATTTTTCTGGGCGTGCCATTTATTTACGAATAAAATTTTTAGTAGACCTGGCTTCTTTGGCAGTTTATTCTGTCACCAGTAAATTGTCCGTCCTTTCTTAACTCTGCCCTCTTTTAAATGCATCGCAATCGATTCCTGCGCGTATCGAGGCACCATAAATACAGGTCGGTGACAGCGTCAACGTACGGTGATGTTTGGTGAGAATTTATTCTGGCTGACGATCGAGTCTACATACTCCTTTTTACACGTGTACGAATAAAAGGTGTGGAAAGTCAGTATTTGAATAACAATCAATACGACTGTGAAAGTGAGTGAAGGAACATTTACAGTTCAAGGGGGGGAATCTGCGCTATAGTTAATGTAGAAACGCTTCTATGCGCATGAAAGCATGCAATTGCTTATGGTCTAAATGAGCAAGAGCTAGCCAGCCGTTTGCGGCATGCGTACTGAGAAAGTCAGTTAAAGAATTGCAACACAGCCGTTAATGAAGAGTGAATTAAAGAGACAAACACAACAGATCAAGTGTGCTCTATAAAACAAACAATCTTTTTGGCAGGTTCAGCAAGGTCGACAATTGGGTGAGATTAGGATCACCATAAACTTCGTGTAAAGTACTGCACAGAACATGCGAATGAAACACTAAGTATACGGAATGTCTTCTGCTTTGTCATGCACTCGCCAGACAATCAAACCGAGTAGGTAATCTGCGCCTTACTTTGCCCGTTTTCTATCTTCCACTAAATTGGACTACCTAGATCTAGATGCCGATTTTTCACAACGGTGTTTAAAATAGTACCTCACTAACACAGCTTTCTGTGCGAGTTGCTTCACGATATTCGGAAGAGGAAACCAACGAAAGACACGAAGACAGCAAAAGAGAACAAGCATACAGAAGAAGCGCTGAACTGCAAATACAACGTTTATTGCAGAAAGCCCACCACACACAACTGAGCAACACATGCATAAATATGCTATCTGAGTCATTTTACAATTGCCCACCTATTGCAGAAAGCCCACCACACACAACTCAGCAATGCGTGCATAAATAGGCTATCTGAGTCATGTCACAGTTGCACTAACAGTGCACAGGTGTTGAGGTGTTACCAACAGCACATTTTCATGAAACGCAAAACTATCAGCGCTATACCATGCAATCAATATGCAACAACGCGAATTCTTTATCTGTAAGGGAAACTTGTGGATGATTTACACATGACTCTTTGCAATGTTTTGTTTTATTTTGAAGGCTTTAAATACTTTACGTTCAAACTTATTTTTTATTTCTTTGCAAATGACTTATTGATTTCAAATCAGGGACGTAGAGCCATTGCAGTGCAAAGGTGAGTTTCCACCAGTACCTGTAGAGAGTGGAATGTGGTGTTCACGCACTCAGTCATTGAAGCTGATCAATTCTTCTCACCTTTGTAGACACGGCCGCATGACAAGGAAATTTCTAAACTCACGTACGTCTGCGCTGGCTGTAGCTGCGCTCCTAATTTCAAATCAGAGTGTCACAAGAAAAGGAATTGAGAAAGAACATTTAACATGAAAGTTGCGAAGCCTTTAGAAATAATAAAAAAGACAATGACATCTGTGATGTGTTAACCCTCAATTTTTAGTCAACGGGTGTACGTGGAGTTCATATTTTGGGGTTTTGTTGTGGAAATGTGCTGTTTGCACGACCCCTTGACATGCTTAATTCTTGGCTTTGTATTGTTAAATGTGCAACGTACTAGGCTCAGATAGCCCATTTACGAATGCACTGATGGTTCATGCGTGTGGGGGCTTTCTTTTATAATATTCAGTTGTTAGTCCAGCACTTGTCCTGTCTGGTTTATTCTCTGTTTTCATGTTTTTGGTTAGTTTCTTACAAAGTATAGTTCGCTAAATATTATCAAGTTTATTGTCATGCGAGTTACGTAACAACCATCCTCACACC